TCTCTCTCTCTCTCTCTCTCTCTCTCTCTCTCTCTCTCTCTCTCTCTGTCTCTGTCTCTCTCTCTCTCTCTCGACTGACTCCTGAGCACAGCCTCAACATTATCCTGACTTCAGATTTCTCTGGGATGGTGATTTCGAGACACTAGAAGGTAGGAACAATTTAGGTTAAAGAATGCAATACTTTGGCTAAATGAGAAACAAATTCAAAAAAATTATCCTATAATGTAGGATTTGTAGTTGATGTATACCTGAACATTGCTAAGACAGGGGCATGGTAGTACAAACTTTTAATTCCATCACTCAAGAGCAGCCTAGTCTACACAGGCCAACAAGAGCTACATAGTAAGGTCCTGCCTTTAAAATAAAAGCAGAAAGAGGGGCGGGGATGGAGAACAAAAGAACAAGACAAAGAGATAAACAGAAAGAAACTTCTAAATATAAAGATCAACCATGTGTGGCAATGTTAACTCAATTTAGTCATTTCACTCTGTATTTCAAAGCAATATACTATATATAACAAATACATGTAACTTTTAATTATTGGTTAAAAATGTGAATTCAGTAAGAGGATCTTGTATTCTTTTGGATTATCAAGTTATCCCTAGTGCCTAAAAGAGAGCATAACATGTAAACTGCCCTCTATAAATACTGCCCGCCTGAGAGAGAGACTGCAGTGAAAGAGCTGCCCCTTGAGACTGGCCCTGGGCCTGACAGGTCCTCACAGTTCCACCTGGCCCTATGACTGATTTCTGTTTGCTCAGTACATCTGTGAGCATACAATTCTTCCTTCATTCCCTGTCTCTTCTTATTTACTTCCTGGAATTGTATTAGTCTTTGCTACAGTATCATACAATGCTTCCATCAGTCATGGAAGTTATTCCCTACTCTTCTTTCTCCAAAATATACTCCCTCTGCACACAGAAGTAAACAACTTAGCATTAAAGAGCTTCTCTGGCATTTTTCAAAAATTTTGTTTTTCTTCCCTCCTTGGACCCCACTACAGCCAGCAGCCAGCCACCATACAGGAAAAGCCCTGTCCCCTCTTTTTTTGGCACCTGCCTAATATTTCACAATGAATACAGTATATTGTGATGACAATTACCAAAGAATACCACTGCATGTCTGGTCCTTCAGCAGAGAGTGGGCAGAGCTGACTAGATGCTTGTTCTTTTACATGCAGAACTACCACATTCCTAAAGCTCTCACATTTTGGCTTGGTAAAAGTGAAAGTGTTATCTCTGCAGATGAATGTGCGGGTTGTACAGAATGGTTCCCATTTTTTGCTATGGTTGCTTAGGACCTGATTGAAGCATACATTTGTTGCCTAAGTATATGCTGATCTATTTCTGAGGTTGAAATTTCTTTAGTCCTTCCTGTCTGAATTCTGTTCAGTTCTTCACTGACTCATCTTAAGTTGAATTTTAACTTATAAGCCCCCCACCTCCAACCACCCTGCTTTCCTTCAAGGATAGACAGAAGGGTGGCATTTTGTCACAAATTTAAACTCTTCCAAGGGGTCCAGGGAAGATGGCTCATTAGGAAAAGCCATTTGCCACAAAGCCTGACTCCCTAAATTAGTTCCCCAGACCCATATGATGGAGGAGGAGAAGCAAGTCCTACAAGCTGTCCTCTGACATCTATGTGCACCCCTGTGTACACACAAACACAAGTAGAGTACACACAAAGAAACATGCCATAAATAAATGTAACACAAAAAAAAAATCTAAGCTCTTTCAGGATTCCTTACCATTTTCCAAATTCTGTGAAACTCAGTCATCTTCTGTTCAAATGCCAACTGCACTTTCTACTGAGAAGCTATGCTAACTGTGACCTGACAGACTGGAAAGGCACCAGGTGTCCTAAGTATGCCTGACTCTTCTGTCTTTCCCAGTCTTGCCCAGGATTCTCCTTACATCAGTGGCTGTTTGCTGCTGTGTGGGGTGGGTGTAGGCAGAGCTCAAGCTTGGGGAGCTGGACATGGGGATAGAAAACACAAGAACATACAAACCAGACAACATCCTATGGAAAGAGTGGGAACAGTTTAGGAGAGAGCTAGGAGTCCTGTCTCTAAAGAATTCCTGAAATAGGCCAGGAGGTGGTGGTGCATACCTTTTATTGCAGCAAACAGATTCCTGAAGCTTTGACTAATGTACTGCAAGTGGTGCTGTTCAGTAGTTTTTAAGCTAAGAAGCAAATATCCAACAGCACTACTGTATTCCTCATATCCACTGTCACTTAACACTAAGAAGTTTGTGTCTTTAGAGTTATACTGAACGTGTAAGATTCTTCAGATACTTCAGCTGTAAACATTATCATCCCTTGGTGACATTCAAATCATATTAGAACTGGAAGTGTAACGTGTTCATTCAGCTCTCTACATCAAGATAGTAGTTACCTTTTCTTTGGGGAACAGGCCAAGACTCCTGATCCATTTACCAGTGGATCTTCATCTGCTGCAGCCGTGCAAGTACTTCCTTCTTAATCTGTTCAGATGAAAAAGAAGAAGAAGAAGAGGAAGACTGAAATAGTGGACAGAAAGTTAATCAGCAACGTACAATCTTATTAGTTGTCACACATTTTAAATTATTACATGTGTTCTGAAGAACCAAACAGCTAAAATTTCAGGCACTTTAACAAGTCCTCAACAAATGCAATTTATTTTTATGATGAACTTAAATTCACTGGATTTACAACAAACCAAGGACAAACAACTATTCAATATGTCCAGAGTCAACATCTTTGGCCTTAAAAAGAAATCACTGTGTGAATTTCCACTAATGAGTTCCCACTTAATGTTTACTGTTGCTATTTGAAAGCTTGTGCCTATGAAACCTGTCAAATTATACCTTTTAAATAACAGGCACGCACTGACTATCTGGAGTGTTCACTCTGCACTTTATGATTCAACAGGATATAGAAGCAATGCAAATTTTAAACAGGAAAGAAAAACTCAGCTCATCTCCTTAAAAAGCACAAGAAAATGGTGCCTCCATTATCTTCCTATATGTGTGCATTGAAAGGAAAATGGGGCTGCTACTTAGTTTGTGGGGAAGCAGTGAGGTAAGGAGTCAAAGGATTGACTATCAAACTGATGTTTCAAAGGTGGTACTCAAGAAAGCAGAGGAGAGCAGCAAATAGAGGCAATGGCCTAGCTGTGAGGCATGTACTGTCAGACTATAAAGGAGGCCGTGCAGGCATAGTGCCACACTCCCTTTAATCCCAGCACATGGGAGGGAGATTTCGGTGAGTTCAAGGGCAGCCTACTCCACATAGTGAGTTTCAGGACAGCCAGAGTTACATAGTGAGACCCTGTGTCAGAAACAAAAACCACAGGCAGGTTGATTTCCTATGGAAAATTCTCTATGAATGCATTATAATTTCCACTGGCTATATAACAAGGTCAGTGGCGAGAAGACTTTTTAGTCAGCTTTTATTTTCACACACTTCAAAATGTCCATATTTCTATGCTTTGAGATGCTGAGATACTAATACACTACCCAGAGAGTCAATGACTGAAGTTCTGTGTCACACTTTCTCTACTTATTTATAATTATCTTTATAGCTTTTAAATTATTCTTAAGTTACTGCCTTCTCCCCTCCCTTTCTGCACACTGCTTCAGTTTCATTCACTCACAAAATGCTATTCAGTAATGTCTAAAGCCTCCTCACTGTCTTCATGGGGCACATGTTTTCTTCTTCTGATTTCTAATTCTTTGCCAATCTCCTTTCTATCTTTAAAAAATTTTTGGATTTCCGATTTAGCATTCCTGCTCTGTCTTACATATAGTAAAAAGCTACTGATTCCTTCAATGTCTGTCTTAAGCCAGTTGTTGACATTGTAAGCAGTTTACAGGTACGCCATAGTCTTTACTCACAGTTATCTGCAGAGTACCACAACAGACACAGTCAACACAGGTGTTAGGTTGGAAGTAGCCCTTCTCCTCTCTGAGTGTTGCTCCTTCAGAATAAACTAGAGCTGGTACATCAGCTCTCACTTGACCTTAAGTCACCAGGCAAAGCCATTTCTCAATTTTCCAGCATGATACTCCAACTATTTTCCAAAGCATCCAAGGAGCCACTGGCTCTTAGGTGTGGCGAAATCTTTTCTGAGATAAGTTGGACTTTTAAAGAATTCACCATTTATTAGTCAATATCTTTGTAAGTGTTATTTTTTTTTAAAAAAAATGGTAGTGGTGTTTCCTAAAATATGCATTTTAAAATAGTGCGTTCCTTGCTTAGAAAAAGCATCATGGACCTTTAGCAGAAAACATACACTTGTTTAAGTGCTCTCAAATGACTCACAACAACTGTGTGTTCAAAGTGCTGTCATTGTGACCTCCTTTATTAGAGGGAGACAGAGAGAGAACTCATCATTTGCTCAGAATGCCCAGCAGAGCAATGGTTCAGACTTGGAAATAGAATCTAGGCCCTAGGTATTGGTTTGTTCTCTTTCCAGGACACGAAACTGTTTTAGCATCAACTTAACTTTGTTCTGTAAAATCAAATAGTGTAAACAATAGGCTAGAAATATTTTCTTAGGTCCAAAACCTTCAAGCCTTTATTTACTCAATACCTATTTATGTACTAAACACTTAACTTTTAGTGATTATTTTATATGAAGGTTTGTTAGATGTAGGAGAGGAGAACCTACTGAGAAAAGACGGTGCTTGGGTTTGTTTTGTTTTGTTTTTCCAAAGTCCTCAGAAATGCAGGCTCTAATTTATTATTCCCCACAGGTGCTGCTCCTCTCCAGTGATCCTCTTGTCTAATCATACTGGTATGATAAAGCTAGAATCCTCGTCAGAGCCCAAACCAAACACAAGGCCTCAACTCAAGACACCCTGCCTATTCTCCTTGGAGCCAGGAACTGGGAGAAATAGTCCAGTTTAGTTTAGACTGGGATAGCCTGTGTACTTACTAGTCCACAGAAAAAGGCCAGTCAGTAAGGAGAGGATGAAAGAATAAAAACTACAGTAGTCAGAGTGAATTGTCCTGAGAAGCCTCTGACCCCTGGGGACTGGGGCAGCAAGGACAGGCTTGGGTTTTCCTTTCCATAGCAACTTCCCCAAAGTCCTTCCATTCCACAGCTCCCAACACTCCATCTCTACCACATAGGGCTCCCTCCTTACAAGCATGTTTGGTTTTTACAACTGATTTTTGGTAACTGCAACAATAAAAAAATCTTGTCTAACAAAATAAAAGATTTTATAGTAACAAGAAGACAGATTTCATCTGAATGCTATAAAGCAAACAAAAAGACACTCAAGGGTTTGGAAATGTACTGTCATTCAGTTTAAACAGAGAGAAGATCCCATGTGATCCACAGGCAGTGTTATACTGACATTCTCAGGGCAAACGGCAGATTTTCTAGGACTAACATTGCTATTATGTCCCTTTAAGATGATGATCACTTCTCGTTAGATGATACAGTCTGTCGGAAATACACAACTCTTGGCAAAGGAAGAAATAGTAAGCTATACCAAGACAGCGGTGGTTTGAAATACCAACAGAACAAGCTTTCTTCCTATTTCTTAAAGCATCTTATCCTCATAGCAAAGCCCAGAATGTTAATATGAGGCAGGTGCTCTATGCACCAGAGGACGCACGGAGAAGCAGACCGCACATTCTGAACCAGCAGCAAGTACAGCCAGGATTCCTACCTGATCCCTTTTGTAAGTTAGTGCTGGAGAAAGTAAAACCTTTAAAGTTCACGCATCTCGGTTCTACACAGGAAAATATTGAAAAACAAGAAGTTTTCTCAGACTGACCAGTACATTCAAACAGATATGCTGAGGGTGTGTTCCATCCAACACAGAGGACCTGCCCATAGAGCAAGGCAAGTATTTTGTGGCATACTAGTTGTGACCTGTAATTCCCAGGTTGTACTTTCTCTCCACCCTTTGATCCTATAAACACACAACCCACAGGTTTTTGTTGTTGTTGCTTTTGCTTTTGTATTTCCCATACTGATCTTGAAGAAAAAAAACACAGATTTGTTGCTAGCATTTAAACACTGGGAAGGTTCACACAAAATTCATTTTGGAAAGTCCAAAATATGGCTACAGAAGCAAGCCCTCCTCCAAGGGTTCTCTGACTGGTTCTGCACCACAGCTGCCTCTTGAAATGGGCACACACATTGCGAACTACTCACTTGACTGCCACACTCACTTCTTCTTGTTTGTTCCCCAAAGGAAGCTATGATCTGCACCTCCTGAGCCTGCACTGTCTTTCTAAGAGTCTTGTCTCAAATGAAAAAAACTACAACCCAAAATTCAGGATTAGGTTTTACATCAGCTGAGGTACAGACATAAGCAGGTACATTCCAGTAACTATGGACTAACATGGTGCCCAGCTTACTTTCTTCTAACCTCCATGGCCCTTACTATCACCCTAACTGGATTGTTTTTCTTGCAAAATCAAAGTGAAAACTGAATCATGTACTTTGTGCAACCTAGAGATTCCTCTCTCCAAAAGCCAAGCAGAGACCAAGTAGACTTAACAGGCCATAGGATTGTTCTCTGATCACTCACTCCTCCAAGCACAAAGTGTAGAAACACACCATGCAGAGAAAATGAAGTCCATCCATGTGCAAGGATGCCAGCAGCTCTGGTCCATCTCCAGAGGTCCAGTTCAGTTTCTGTAGTCTGTTCTAGGGCCTTATCTACCCTCATGTAACTTGTTTTGTTTGGACTTCAGGCCCTTGGGTACAGGGCTCAAAGACAGGGCTGAAAGGACTCTTAGAGATCCTCCTTCTTCATCCTCTCCAGAACTGGGACTATAGACATAATGATCACAGTTTCTAAAGAACTCTCATTTTCTACAGATTCGACACAGCGAGCTACACAAAATTCAGTTGCTCTTGGGTTTCCAACTGATCTCAGGCCTGAGCTTGCATAGGTGCTCAGTTTCCGGAGCAAGATCGCCATCCTCCCAGGTGCAGCACTGAAGTAATTGGGACTCCTGTTTCTTTCAGTTGAGAGAGGTCAGAAAAGCTTTTCCCCCCATCAAGTCTGACTAAAGTATACTATCTTACCCTTACTCTTGAGCACAAAGCCTACAATAAATATGCCTGTCATGGATCTCCTTGTCATGTCAGAAGATTACAATTTACAGAAGTATATGACAATAACAATAGTATCTGTAGTAGCCGACTGAGCACTTACTGTATTATCTGCTTTCTCCTGAATAATCTCACTTAACTCTCTCTCAGAGACAATGGTGTACAAACTCTTACCATGTTCATTTGCCAGGAAGCTGACTGAAGCTTGAAGAATGAAGAAACACTCACATACTAAAGTTGAACTTAAAATAACTGTCTCCAATGCCACACAGAACAGCATTTTTATTTTTAAGATTTAATTTTACTTACTCGGGTGTGGGACTTGTGGAAGCCAAAATCCCTTGAAGCTGGAGCTACAGGCAGTTGTGAGCCCAAGCGGGTGCTGGTAACTGAATGCCAGGCCTCTGTAAGAGCAGGAAGCACTCTGAAGTGCTGAGCCATCTCTCAAGAC